AACGCATGATCGCACGGGCCCACCCCGTGCGTTTCAGCCAGGGTTTCACAAAGCGAGCATTCACCGAAAAAAACGGCCGGATTTCATGCAAAAAACCGGTAATCATGCAACTGGATGTCCGAAAGGCTCTATAATGCAACACCATCCCAACTGACGCCCCTCCTCCTGCACGCCGGAAGGGGCCAAAGCACGGCCAGTACGAGCCCAAGTGTTAGGCTACAGCATAAGGATCATTCTTGCTAATAGTGACTTGCGAGTTTAGTGCAAAAAAGCATGATCGCACCGGAGAGCCTGGTGCGTTCCAGCCTGGGTTTACACTAGTGAGAGCAAAAGGTAGGTATAAAGCAACAACCATTCACGCAGTTAATGACCTGAGTACTTAAAGTCCTGTGCAAAAACGCATGATCGCACCTGCAAGCCTGTTGCGTCCCAGCCTGAGTTCCTTCTTCCTTCACTTGCACTAAGGAGGGATGGGGCCCCGATCTATATTCCCGAACTTTATAAAGTCATCGCTAACAGCGTACAATCGTTGCAGTAAGGCTGCCGGTAGTTCCCCTTTTCGAAGGGTTTCATGAGGAACAGGACAAACCTAATTCGAGTCCTTTGTTCGTGAGGCGTACTTAGATTAGTTATAATACCACTAAAATCAATGAAAAACATAAAGGGTCAGTTTCCCTTTGAAGTCCGCAGCGTTATAAGATTACTAGCTCATTTTCAAGTCGACCATGCTGCTGGTGCAAAATAACCACAGGATAAACGCGGACTGGAAGGATGGCCGTATAAGATGTCAGATTTGTTTTACTAGAAGTAGCAGCAGCGGCAGCCTTCTGACAATGGTCTTAAGCTACGTTTTCAACGCTTCATCGAAGTGTTCGTTTCAGAAAATACTCTGTATTGTCCGAATTCTCAGACACCGGAATTGGACAGCAGCGGTGCAGCGAAGCAGTGCTTGCCAGGTAATTCTGTCACGTCTTTTTGTTGTTCAACTCCGGGTACAGAGAGCAGCCAAATGTAATATCCATTCGTCTTGTCCGACAGCTCAGTTGTTCCACACAATGATCATGCTGTGCAGGTTCAGATCGAAATGGTTACCTCACTGAAACTGATCATGCGATGCAAAAGAAATTTTTCTTCAGTTTTCCTTCTTCGTTTTACCTCCACAGGCTGGTGAGCCAACGCAGGATCATACCAAAGTGACTCTAAATCTATCCAAAGTTAATTGGAGGTAATAAACTGCGCTTAGTAAACGAAAAACTTGAGCCTTTCCTTCTTTTTCTGTGAGATAATTTGAATTAAGGAAACAAAAAGCTTTTTCTGCCTTCCAGGACAAAGTGGAGTATGTGGAAATGGACATACGTGCTTCTTTTCTGGAACGAATTATCAGTGCTGCCCGATGGAAAGTGAAAGTGACCTGGATCCGGCACTGGACTGTGCGCCATCCAGTTTGGTTCTCACAGACTCTGGCTCGCCTCTTACTTGCACACCTGGAGTGCAGGACTGCCCGCAAGTGATCTACTCAATTTTTCTTTTCCTAAATCATCTCTTATTGAAGTTTGACGATTCGTGATTTGCTTGATAAGCAATCTTCTTAGTATAAATAAAGCAAAATGCTACTTCTTCGTGCCGCACTGCTGCTTCATTGAGTCTCACGGTAAGACCATACGTACTTGTGATATAATTCAGTGGAGGGGTAATAAAAGTTAGGAAGTCTGAATCCTGGAAGAGTGTACGTCGAATCACGTATAAGAGTCTGAAAGGAGCCTTCAGTTTCCTTTGCACCTTAATATTTAACCGCATATCCATTTTTTCACAATTTTACTCCGGCTTTTGGAACTCCTTATATCCTTCAAAGCTTGGAATTCCGGGGCCGCAATCTTACAATTTTGAAGGAACTCATCTTATGATAAATTGCTTTAAACCAACTTTTATGCTTTGTTTTGCCTTACAAACTCAAAATTAAATATGGTTTAAAATCATAGTTTCGAAACTAGGCAAGCTATACTTTAGAAATCCGCAATTTAACTTGCCGTTCGGCATGAAGCCAGTAACCAAACATCAACTTAATTTGCTTCTGTGGCTTCAAGTCCAAATGTAGGTTAATGTCGTAAACCCCGACAGCGTTTGGCTATTGCTTCAAAATTTTAGTGATTCAGAATAAACACATGGGAAAAACTTCATTGAAATTGGTTCAGGTCAATTATTATGTGATAACGACGGCTACTGTAGAGCACTAGTTCACGACTCCCATGGCCAGGAGCACTGTCCCACAACCACAGTGGGCAGATTGCTGCATGACTCTTGCAGTCAAAAAAGATGGCCTCAGCGCTAGGCCAGTGCAAAGCATTTTTGCAA